AGAAGAGGTTGCAAGTTCAGAGCTTCAGGGTGCCCTTCTATCTCTGTTGCTGGTGAGCTGGTTTCCTCCACCGCGGGAGATATTCAAGGTCAATCGATCTCATTCTTTCAGTCACTACCCAGAGCTCATGACCATAGGTGAGGGTAGGAACAGAGACTGACCAGTAAACGGAGAGCTTTGTCTTACAGCTCAGCTCTCTCTTCACAACAACGGACCGGTACAGAGTCCGCAATACTGCAGACACTGCACCAATCCGTCTGTCAATCTCACACTCCATTCTTCCCTCACTCATGAACAAAACCCCGAGATACTTGAACTCCTCCACTTGAGGCAGAACCTCACCCTGAAGAGAACATACCAGTCTTTTCTGTCTGAGGACCATGGCCTCAGATTTGGAGGTGCTGATTCTCATCCCAGCTGCTTCACACTCAGCTGCAAACCGCTCCAGTGAGAACTGGAGATCACGTCACGATGACGCCAACAAGACCACATCATCTGCAAAGAGCAGAGATGGAATCCTCAGGTCACTGAACCGGAAACCCTCCGCCCACTGGCTGCACCGAGAAATTCTGTCCATAAAAGTTATGAACAGAATCTGTGACAAAGGGCAGCCCTGGTGGAGTCCAACTCCCACCCTGAAGGGGTCTGACTTATTACCAGCAATGTGAACCAAACTCTTGCACTCTCGTTTCCTTCCCTTCACCTCTCTATTAATGTGCTTGGACACAGAGCTCTGTGAACAGCCAACCTCTTCAGCAATGACCTTTTGTGTCTTGCTTGTGTCTTGGAACGCCTTGGAATCCTCCCAGAAGAACTGGAAGAAGTGGCTGTGGAGAGATGTCTGGGCTTCCCTGCTTGTCCTTGTGCAAGGTGTCAATGGTCGTCTTTTGGACAACTGTCCAGTCAGCAGTCTCCCCCATGAGTGTGTAGCTACAGAACTAGACTGAGACCATTTAAAGGCCTTTGCAGGTGTTTTGAGTTAATTATCTGATTAGAGTGCAGCACCAGGTGTCTTCAATATTGAACCTTTTCACAATGCTCTAATTTTCTGAGATACTGAATTTGGGGTTTTCATTAGTTGTCAGTTATAATCATCAACATTAAAATAAATAAACTTTTAAATAGATCAGTCTGTGTGTAATGAATGAATATAATATACAAGTTTCACTTTTTAAATGGAATTACTGAAATAAATCAACTTTTTCATGATATTGTAATTTTATGACCAGCACCTGTATATACTATGAAAAGAATAATATAAATATCATAAAAGGTCAATGGTAATGTTTGTACTTTGTAGTGGACTAGGCCTGATGTCAAAACTGACCAGATGGACAGAAACTGTCATTTCATTGATTTGAATCCAGAAATACAGTTTGACCCATCCTGAGACTTTCTTTCTTGAATTAATCAAGTGGAAAAAGACAATTCTCTATGATCATTACTATTTTACAAATGTTTTGATAATCAAATTGTGTTAGTTCAAACAATGTTTACATGTTGAAGTGAACTACTCATTTTTATTTACTTAAACAGTAGTAATGATTTTTAATCCTCAATTCAAAGTGAAATCAAGTTAGAGTACGTTACAGAGTAATGATTCAAATTCTTGATCATCTGCTTTGAAGTGAGCAGAAGTTTGTAAGTGTGTGTCAAAGTTCAGGTTTCGGTCAACTAAAAGTTTACTGAAAAGAAATGTCATGTTTAACTTTTACAGCAAGATACTTGGTGGAGCGACGCCACGAAGTCTGGTTTTCTCCAACAATCTTTCTGTCTGTTCTTAAACAATCCTTGACTTTCCATAACACCTTACATCACAAACCACACCTCTGCTTTGGTCCATCGACCAATCAAAAGCTCTCAAATGAACCGGAAGTAGAGCCCATTTAAATGTGACACTTCCCAGTTCAACAACAGAGTTCAGAGTTTTGGAGTTCAGAGAGTTCAGCTCAGTCTTGAAGCTGCTGTAAGCTCAGTCTTGAAGATGGAGTAGCAGTTCAAGCAGAGAGTTTGGGAGTTCCAGAATGCAAACGCAGGCATTCATGGATGCTGCTGAATTAGAACCAAGCTGAACCAGAGACGATTTTGGGAATTATAACTTCTGTTTGGATGACCTCACGATTCCAGGAGTTTCTAGCTGTTCTCACGGAGACGCTGAAAGAAGTTGAAAGGAGAGCTCTACACCGACGCTGAAGCTATCATCTGCAAGGTAAAGAGTCGATCTCAACTAGCGTACCGTTGGCCCAAGCTGGAAAAGAAGGAGCGTGTTGTTCTGGTTAAAACAGACAAATTCCCTCACACATCTCTCTGTAGACAAACTTCACTTTCCATCTTTAAACTCTCCTATCTGCTAAAATCATTACAGATAATTTTTAGAAATGTCTGAAGCAAAGTTCTCAATCACCGCCGTGTGAATTGATGTCTGCTGTTCTGCTGAAAAGTGAAAACAATCGCCGTATTGTTCTCACTTCCTGTAAAACTAGCCATGTTGTCATTTTCATATTTTTGCCAAATTAATGTAAATGTTTGATGTTAAACTTTGATTCTGTAAATAAATGACCTCCATTCATTTTAATGGGTCAAAGATAAATAACGTCTCACGTTACATTTCTGTTAAATTCAATGCACGTTTATATACAGTCCAGAAAAATGAAGAATCCGTTTAATGTATGAATATATCTCTCCATATGTCATACTACAACTTGAATTATAACTCAGATCACACCATTGGTTGGTTCTCTAACTATCTTTCAGACCGGAGGCAATGTGTTCAACATAATGGTACTTCCTCCAGTTATTTAACATTCAACAATGGTGTACCACAAGGCTCAGTCTTAGGACCCACCCTCTTTACAATCTACATACATAATGTAGGTAAAAACATCCCTGATGCATCCATACATTTCTATGCTGACGACACAGTTGTTTATTGTCGAGCTAAAACAGTTGCTAAGGCTTTCCAGCTTTTGAAATCTGCATTCAACATCATCCAGACAGATTTGTTTCGCCTCAAACTTGTCCTAAATGCCGAAAAAACCAAAGGGATGCTTTTTTCAAATAGGAAGTTGGTCCCAGCAGTTCTTCCTCCGATTTTATCCTCAAATGGTGTCCCCGTTGAGTTTGTTGATTCTTATAAATATTTGGGTATCTTGGTCGACTCACATCTCTCTTTTAAGCTCCATGTGGAAAACTTGTTAAAGAAACTGAAAGTTAAACTGGGTTTCTTTTTCAGAAACAGATCCTGTCTAACCCTGAACCCTGAGGAACTCCTTGTATCTGTGACTTTCCTTCCCTCCATTGATTACGGTGACATTATTTACATGAACGCTCCTACAAGAACCCTGCAGATGTTGGATGCTGCAGATGTTGGATGCTGTCTATCATGGTGCACTAAGATTCATAACTGGCTGTAACTACCGTACCCACCACTGCACCCAGTATTCACTGGTTAACTGGTCACCATTAACTCCACACAGACTCTCTCACTGGTACATTTTCATCTTTAAATCACTTCCTGGTCTGCTGCCTTCATACATCTCCTCCTACATGTCTCTGTGTGAGTGCAGCTACAGCGTGCGCTCTCAGGACATCATTACCTGCAGTGTTCCCTCAGTGAGGACTGAACTAGGCAAAAGGGCCTTCTCCTACTCCGCTCCTGTTTCCTGGAATATCTTACAAAAAGATTTGAAGCTCTCGACCTTTGACCTCTCTAAGTGTCTTTAAGAATCTGTTGGACTCCTGGCAGGGACCAATGCAGACATGTTCCTGTTCTTAGTTTTATACATTTGTCTTGGAATCTAGCTGTTTTTTTGTTTTGTTACCTTTTTCCTTTTAGCCATCCTATTTGTTTAAAAAAAACAAAAACTAGTATGAGTTTTTATAACTGTTTATTGTTGTCGCTGTTGTCCATTGTTGTCATCATTCTTTGTTAAATCAGGTCTCTCTTGTAAATGAGTCCTCGAGGCTCAATGGGATTTACCTGTAGAAATAAAGGTTGATTGATTGATAACTCCTTTCAAGCACGCCCAGACACATCAAACTGATGGATTTATTAAGATTCAGTACGTGAAAACTAAAGAAGATACTCAAAGTAAAACAACGATTAACTCTTAAGGAAAATGAACAACAAATATTAATATCAAATGCTTGTACACTCAACGTAAAACAAACATACCTCGTTGGCTGTGCTACCAAAAGGAATTAGGCTGGTTTCTTGGGTTTCAGCTTCTTTGAACTCTTTTCTTCAACTTAAAAGTCCGTGCTTACTTGTTGTTACTCACATCATTGCTACCGACTGAATTCTTCAGGTACTTTTCACCTGAATACAGCGCCAACTACAGGTGACATGTAAAACTACGTATAATCAAACAAACGGTACAAGCCATATGAATGTGAAACATAAACTGTGGCAGTTACATGAATAATTAAAGACCTAAAGAAGCCTTTCAAATTAGAGCACACTACAGGTTACAATGGTTTTAATAAATGTTCTCTGAACAAGAACAATGTGCAAACATCTTAGATGTTTTCAAGGAACACAGTTGTCCTTTTTCTCAGATATTGTTCACAGACGTGTGTAAATCTGTCAGTGAGAACTTCTCCGTTGCTGAGATGATCCACCTCCCAGGTGTATCAAGACACTGAGTAGACCTCTGATTACTGCACAGCGGGGCATTAGGCTGACCACAACAAAAGGCCACACAGAACCAAATTAGATTTGAGTTGTTCCTTTATGTTCAACAAGTTTTTATCTGAAACTGAAATGGACCATGTTTCATGTTCCATGGAAACGTCAGGATTAGGTCAGTAACTCCTGACGTCATGAAGACCCGAATGGTTCTACAAGAAAACCTTAAACAGATTTAGTCCAAGTCCTGAGCACAGATACCAAAGGTGGACTGTAGAACTCAGCTGGGCTGTTTGAATCCGCCAGCACAAAGGAGTGGTTCTGTACAGTTCTGGCTGGTACCATGTGGTTCTGACAGGTTCTGTGGTCTCAGTTATAAAGGTCTGGTGGCCGAAGCTCTGAGGCAGCTGGTGGGAGAACAGAACTACAAACAGGATGAAGTGCTGGCCCCGGGCTACTACACAGGTACCACCCAGTCCCAGCTGGTAGCACACAGAAGCCTTTATATGCTTGTCTTTAATCTGTGTCCTGGTTGTCTCTAATCTGTTTCCTGTTTG